CAAGGGACAGTCTTGGCTATAAAGCTGGCAACCATGTCATGCGATACCTTTCATAAGCAGTTCCATAGCAGAGCCGGGGTTCGCAGTCCAGCCTATACCCAGAACTGTCCTGCCATGTAGCCAGCTGTTAGTGTGGGCACAGGAATGCAATACAGCAGTCCAGGATAGGACGTTTTGAGTGCTGAGCCCAAGGGACAGGTCTTACCTGACCCCACCACTCAGTTGCCTGGGATGGGTCTTTGTGCTGTGTTAGCTATGACTCCATTCAGGAAAGTCAAGTTTACCTGAAAACAACCCTGCACACTTATGGATAAAGATCCTGAGGTGCTAAATTACACTAGATTAGTTCTCAGATCTGAATGTAGCAAGTCCATAGCAGAGTGAAGAATGTACTTTATTGAAGCAACATATTATGGTGTCAGGTAAAATTAACTAGATTGCACCCATCATTTGATACATAGGCAATAGCAAGCACCGAGGTGTGTGATTTTACTGAATGACTTAAACCAACCAAGAGGTGGAGGCCTCATGTTAACAGTGCTGCTAGTAGTGGTGTTTAAATTGAATTTGCTAAAGGCAAAGTTTCAGTTTAAAAAAGGGTGCCGGGGTGTTTAAAGCTTGCCTTATAAAGAGGGTGTTTAACTGGATTGCCTTATAAAGAGGATTTTGGCATACAAGGCTCTAAAAACGGGTAAGCCTCATCCTGCAAACAGTTATCCACAGAAACAATCCCATTATAGCCCATAGAGCTACCTCCCTGGGTAAAAAGTCTTCCGAATTGGGGCCTTTAGGTATCACTTGCTTCCGGAGAACATTGTAACACGTGCTGAACCCGACCCTTTTAAATGCAATGAGACTGCTTCTAAGCACAAAGTTTATTCAAGCACATGAGTATTTGCAGGACCGGGGCTAATGTCTGCAAAACCCAAATTATTATAATACTGATTGTATTATTAAAAATAACCTTTACTTGGCTTGGAGCTTGCTGGGCGCTGAAGGCAGCTGGCTCTGTCTCTCTGTGAGTGTGAGGTTGGAATATCAAAATCAAGGTGGAGGTGAAGTCTGAAGAGCAGTCTCTTTTGAGCTCTTCTTTTTGTGCTGATCCAACATCTGTTCCCGTGGAAACTGTAACCAGAAGCCTGTAGCTGAAAGCAGGAGTTCTTGTTAGTTTCAGTTGCTGGCTTCCAGTCCCCATTTAGACCTATGTTTCCATAGAAATGGACATCAGAAAGGTGAAGACAGGCTAAGGGTTATAAAATATAGCTGGAGAAAGCTTGACATGGAGAGAATGTGTCTGATGCTTAGAGCAAGGATTGTGGCTGTGTTTGGATTCAGTCTCCTGGGGTTTGTTTCCAGCTGTGCAACAGACTTGTTGCGTGACCTTGGTCAAGCCACTTAACTTACCTTTGTCTCAGATTCTCCAACTATATCAAGAGTCAGGTGCTGAGACCTCCCCCCCCCAAAAAAAAAAAGAGGTGGCGTGAGATTGAATTCAGGCCCGGAATAGGGCTTTGAGTCCCACTGTGGAACTGCAAAGGAATACTTTTCATTGCTCTGCCTTATTTCTATGGAACCTAAAGGGGGAGGGAGAAAACAAAGTGCTGCAAAGATACCAAGCAGCCAGGCAGCAAGAAGTGAAATCATAAACCTTAGGTCCTAACGTCCTGCTGGGATCTGCAATTCCCATTTCAGAATTCAGCAACTGGACGCTGGTGAAAGTTGAGCTTCCAGAGGCAGCAGGGATCTGGCCCCGAATGATTTAAAATAGTAGCAAGCCAAGCCAGGGAAACCCTTCCCATTAAGCCCATGTCTCCAGAGTAGGCTTTTCTAGTCTGTTGTCTAAATGGACATTAAAGTCATGCATTTCCTCACACAGGGTGAATGCAATGATCTCAGGGAGGGGGCTGCTGCCTGGCCGACCATTCTCTTGGACACATGCACAGTCTGACTGCTTGCCAGCCGATTAACATCCTTTTCCTGCCATGCCCTGAAGTTTCACCAGCACGAAAGCCTCCTCGAAAGCCTGGAGCCAGCCCCCCAGGAGGTCAGGGTTTTTATTAGGTGGCTCAGTCTGAACAAAATTGACGGCTCAAGGGATGCAAAAGAAAGCACGAGGTTTGCCAAGCCCTGGTGTGGCTGAGGGCTCTGTGATAGCTGACAGGCCGTAAAGGAGCAGGTCCTGGCTTGTGCAGCTTGGAGGCACTTGGGACAGTGGGAAATGAAGGGTCAGGGTGAAGTGATTGATGTGCTGAAGCCCTTTCCCATCACTGCCTGGGACGCTCTGCACATAAAGCTGTATCTAGCTCTCTTGTGGAAAGCGCATTTGCAGGTGACTGGGGTCAGATTTCCCAAAGCAACAGACATCAACCATAAATTCATATTTTTCACACCTCCTCTCCGAGGCTTGGGGAGGATCTTGGTGTTGAAACCAGGGCTGGCTCCCTCCCAACCCAGCCTGTCGATCTGCTTGGGTTTGCAGTGAAGTCATCGTGTTGAATTTGGCACATCACTCCAATTCCCTTGGCAACAGCCTGATGTCACAGACAGGCTTCTGACTTCACTGCAGCATCCAGCAGTAGGAGAAGCTGGGCAGCCAGGGAGACGGCTCTTATTCCAGCAGATGCCGGGGAGAATAGCAGATAGAGTACCAAGAACTACCTCCAAGGTTTATGTGGTCTTTGAAGTTGATTCCTTTGTAAAAGCTTTGTTTTAACTGGGGGGGGGGGGGTCAATGTTTCAAGAGGAAACATCACACTTAGGATGATGATGTTTGAGAAACTGGGCTCTCTTCTCCCTCCCTCCCACTGCTGCTTTTCACATTTGCTGCTTGTTGTTGACTGACATTCCTACCATGGGTGGGGAAAATGTCCACTCTCACTGTCTCCTTCCTGCCCCCATGGCTGGGGGAGGCTGGCAGGAGTGTGTCCTCTGCCGAAAGCAGGAGAAAGAGCTCCTACCTCTGACCCGAACTGGGAAGGAGGAATAATACTGCTGCCTCTCTTCAGGTCTCCCTCTTGCTTGGGTTGGTGCTGGTGGCTCTCCCCAAACTACTGTGGTGGGGTTTTGCTTGCTGGGGAACCATTGGTCATTGGCTTTTCCAGTCCACTGGCTGCAAATAGGGTTTCCTACATGCACTTCAAAAAAAATAATAATAATAATTAAAAAAAATATATATATATATTAATTGTTGGCACCATAAATAAACCCACCTACTGCATGTGACCAGATGTGGCCCCTAAACATATGCCACCCTTTCACTCCTCCAAGGACCCTCCCAGGCAACTTGCTTTTGGTAGGGACCCATGGATGTCCACTTTGATTACTGGGGAGTTTTTTAGAATAAATTGTCACCGCTTGCGTTAGTGCTGCCATACGTTAAATTAAGTGACAGTGCTGGACTTGTACTTAGATGCCCTACCGGGCTGGTGGGGCCAGAAATGTTCTCTTGGGAGGAGTTATATTTCATTTATTAAATCACACAGGGAATCCCCACCCAAATGGCACAACCAGCCCAGATCCTAATAGCCATTTTACAAGTCAGGGGTAGGGAAGACGCTGTTGAAACAAGGCCGGTTAGTAAGTGGCAGCTGGCTGAGCTCCGCGATTCCTGCCCAAAGCTTTGAGGAAGTTCATACCAACAACTGCAGCAAACTAACTTAATTACCCATGGCTCCCAGGAACCTGAGTTAGTCCTGCTACCAAGCAAAAAGATGACTGGAAACCCCCCTATATATATATTATTCCACGTAGCTTGTGCCAGCCTCCCTTCCCCCTTGCTGCTTTGACGACCGGCACACGCACCCGCTCCTGTCCAATGTGGGAGTTTCCCCTGCAGCAGTACCTTGCCCACCCAGCCTCCCTCGCCCTAGGGGGGACGGGTTTAAGTTGAGGGGGGCGCACAAACGCTCGGGGCTGGATCTTTATTTTTTTTCCCCTTGGAAGATCCTTGTCTTCAGGGGCGCACGGCTGTTGGGAGGGAGCCACCTAGATTGTAGCAGGCAGGCACACGGCCCTGTACACGGGCAGGGACAAGCCCCCCCCCCTCACTTTGAACGCGCATGTTGGCACACAGGGAACTTTCGGGGGGGGGGGGGGAAGAGAGAGTGTGGGGGATGTGTGAGAGTATGCGAGACAGTGAGTGTGTGTCTGTGTGAGGGTGAGTGTGAGGTGTGGGGGATGTGTGCGAGTATTAAGACCGTGGGGGAGTGAGACTGGGTGTGTGTGAGAGAGAAAATAAGTGCAAGATTGGGTGTGAGGTGCATGTGCATGTGTGTGAAAGACGGTGAGTGTGTGGGGGATGTGTGTGAGAGAATGCAAGACGGTGGGTGTGTGAGATAAGTGTGAGACTGGTTGCGAGGTGTGTGTGTGTGGGGGGGGTGCAAGCGTGAGACTGGGTGTGTGTGAGTGTGTGTGCGTGCGAGGTGCGAGAGCCCGTGAGTGCAAGACAAGTGAGTGTGCGGTGCGTGTGCACGGGGGGAGGGGCGGGGGGGCGGCTGTTTG